AGCACAATGAGGAAGTCACGCTTCTTCCAAGTGCGCACAACACTGCGTGGGACGCACTGCAGGGACTCACTGTCATACACGGCGTATGCGCTGCGAGAATTCGTCACAGTGCCTTTAGCCGGTACACCGGAAAGAAGTTGATCAGACTGAAACAATGCCGTAGCGTCCAAATACTGAAGGAAAGCCACAGCCATNTCGATGGACGGGATGGCCAGCACAATGAGGAAGTCACGCTCTCCCCACATGCGCACAACACTGCGTGGGACGTACTGCAGGGACTCATTGTCAAACAAGGTGTGTGCGCTGCGCGACTTCATCGCATTGCCTTTAGCCGGTACACCGGAAAGAAGTTGATCAGACTGAAACAATGCCGTAGCGTCCAAATACTGAAGGAAAGCCACAGCCATCAGAAGAAATACGCAACACACGCAAATACGAGTCGATCGCTGTGGGTGGCGGTGCGCCATGAGCAATTGCCGGTCCTATAAGGAGATGACGATTGAAGCAGAAAAACCACCATGTCGAGACAGGAGCGGAAGTACCCTGGAAAGTGTTGCAAGGCGCAGGTGAGAGACACAAAGTACAAAAAACGATCAGAACAATCCGTTGCAAGGCAAAAAGATCGATCAAGAAAGCGTAAGAGTCGTAGTAAAGGTACCATGAAGAATGACGAGACAGCAAATAGCAGAAACAAGTTCATCACTAAGTGCAAGACAGTACCACGCCAGACCAAATACATCTTCTTTTTATTTCAGCAAAGCAAAAACGTGCCATACTCACACACACAAAAAAAGTAAGAACTTTCGTTAACAAAAGAATTGAATCAGCCCAGGATTGCGCCACTTCCACAGCACTGTACTTGGCAACGTGTCGCTCCCAAAAAGCTTCATTAACTTCCCATAACTATTCTCCGGTGGGAGGTGAAGTACGACAGACATAAATTTAGCTCGAAGCTTCCCTGTTCGGTCTCGCCCAGCATGAAAACGGTACCAACAATCTTCCACAACCACCAGTGCGGAGTATCGCACCTCCAGCCGTAGTATCTGCCCCACCATCACATCCTCGTACTGCATCTTATAAGAGAAAAACTCTCTCTCATTTTTTTTTGTGTACGGCACATGCACCAGCCGTCGCACAGGCTCAAACGACACAAGCTGCTGCACCACATCCCTCGCAAGAGTGTAGAGCATTCCCGCAAAGAAACGAAACCGATGAGTAACATGACCTTTTCGAATTGTGCCAGAACCAGGCGCCCCCCAAAACAGCCCTCTGCGCGGCAGTGAGCGCAGGTCGGCGAGGTACTGCGGCACGCGCAGAAACATGTCGTCGTCACCCTTCGCGAAGTATGTCACAGTCGGGAACAGCCGCAGTGCCATGTCGAACCACCGGAACACCTTGCGGCTCAGCCCGATCTCAGCCTCATTGCCCCACTTTCCACCACCAATCGTCTTGTTGGTCGATGGGCGCCCCTCATTCATCGGCAGCGCAATCACATCGTGCCACTCCGCCGCCTCCGCCTCCAGCGTCGCGGAGTACGTGAAGTTGTGCGACGGGTGCCGCGCAAGCACGTAAAGCACCAGCATCGCACCGGTGAAGTTGTTTGCTTTCGTCGCCACACCGGGGAACCGCCAGCACGTCGACCGCTGGAGGTGGCGGCGCCTCTGCCGCGCATCGCTATCCGCAGAAGGTATGCCGAACACAATAACGTAGCCACGCTCTTTCCATATCTGTTCAGTATCACGTGGAACGTATCGAAGAGATTCTTCCGACACAGCAGGGGCGATTCTGCGTGTCACAGCGGATGCGGTGTTTATCGACGGATCACCGTCGCTGAAGTCAGCCGGCTGGAACACCGAGGCGTCCGTGAACCGACTATAACCAATTGTAGTTATGACTACTAAGAGTACACAGAGGAATGCAGTGGCTGTTCGCCACAACCTTCGGTATGCCATTTTCGCGTTTTCTGCGTTAAGGGTAAGGAGGAACCAGGGTAGGAGCCATACAGCAGCAGGCGTCATTTCAATGGGCACTCCTTCTTACCAGTGCGGTGTGAAAGCCCCATAGGAAACAAGCAAAGACAATAGAGGTTGCGCATAAGAATCACGCAAAGAGACGTCTCTCAGAAACACACTCAACACGGTTTTGCGTGCACATCACTTACCCGAGAAGGTGCGGTGTCACGGCACCCGCAAACCCCGCAACCAGCAGGATAATTACTGAGCGTGGAGAGAGGCACACAGCTGCCACCCAGCCGCCCGGCAGCAGAGCAGTGGGGCCACGGAGAAGCACATCGACACGCAGTCACTCAACTTCAAAGCTGAACTCCACGTGATCACTGGCACCCAGACACCAGAATAGCCACGCAACGCAGGCGTGGGGGAGTGTAGAAGACCACACACAGCACCTCTCATCACAGAGCAGGGGGGGTGGGGGCAAAAACAGGCGCCAGGCACACTCCACACACACACACACACAGAGAGAGAGAGAGTAAAGTCACACGAAAGAGTCACTCACCCAAAGCGTAAAACGGATAACAGTTCGTGGCCTCTTATGTACATCCTTTGGCAAAACAGAATCCAGGGTTCACACGTATGATTATTTCGAGATCCAACACAAAACTTACTGAACGCACAGAAAACACAGTGTTTCTCTTCAAAACCACACAGTTAAAAGGATATAAGGCAACGACCTCTGAATATACGGATAATCATTCAGCAACCAAACTCAATGACATTTCCCACCCGTTTGTACAACTTTGCAGAGGCATTTGCTACCATCCCAAAACGGTGCATGAGCTTGCCGTACTCCTCCTCTTTAATGTGGTGAACCATTACAGACAGATTACTCACAGGTCCCGTAAAAGGCCCGTTCCGAAGATTGTGAAAACGGCACTTTCTTTCTTTCGCGAAGATAAGGCGAGGATACTTCACCTCGTGCAAAACACGGCCCACCATATTGTCCTCATGATCCATATGTAAGGAAAGAAACTCCGCCTCTCGGGCCTTGCTGTAGGGCAGACGCACAAGACGCTGCAGCGGTTTGTACGACACGAACTGCTGCACCACATCCCTCGAGAGTGTCATGCAAAACCCAA